ATCATCATAGTGAGCTCTTTTATTCTCATTAGGAGTCATTCATTAAAATCTTTGACAATTGTTATACCATCTTTAACCTTAGTTGATTGAAAAGAAGCATTAACAATAGCATCTCAAACACCTTTATCAACATATTCAAGAAAAATCTTCATTCTTATTTTCCAAAAAGGATAATTTTCACCAGAAAACAAAGGAGGTCTATTTATAGATGCACCTTCAGCAAAAGTTTGAGAAATATTTGTCATTCTTTTTGGATCAAGATCAAGTAACTTTTAATAACCCAACTCTGATACCAATTGTTAATAAAATGTTAATGACAGAACTTTCCCAAGAGGGAGGGTGAATTAAGTTTTCAAAAATCTTTTGAATTTCTAATCAATTATTTAAAGAATTTTTCCAGATAATCAATTATGAAAGAATTATCACAATTTAGAAAAACAAGCATACCAAGATAGAGAGAAGAAGAAAAGACACATATTTATACTTGTTCGATTATTCTTGAATCTACATCTAGTTTTAACCAATCAACCTTAGCCTGGAGTTTTTCACTTAATAACAGATTTACAATCTAATCAAATGATCTTGATTTACAACAACCTCTAATCAAGATCACAACACTTGAAAAAGTTTTACCTCACAATTTTCAAGTTACCCTGATGTAGCTAGCCTCACATACATCAAAACATAAGAACAAGATACAACAGAAAGTTGTGGAACGAATTCACCTTTGGTTTACAGAATTATGTACCTACAACCAAACAACATTTCTTTGAAATTGAACTTCAAAATCTTTTGCAGAATTACGCTCTTTCCTTAATGCCCAAAATGTTCTTTCTAATTGCTTGTGTTTGTATTTGAAAATTGATATTGATTAAAGAAAGTTTACATCATTTTATAAAACGAAAACTGTTGTAACTGTAAAAAATAATCGATTAGCATATTTATCTAATCGATTATTTGAGTGCAGTAGTAGTTTGAAAATAGTCAGATAATCGATTAGGTGTTAACATAATCGATTATTAGTACGTTGTGTTAAAACAAGTTTTTTAACAAATAATCAATTAAGCAACCACATAATCAATTATTAATGCGTCTTATGAAAACTGAATTTTAAGTCATATAATCAATTATCCCTTTATCTAATCGATTATTAGCGCGTTGTTTTAATATATTTAATTATTCAAAGTTTGACTTATTTGACTTTATACAAACTAACTATCATAACTACCTTGACATCATCAAAAAAATATTTTCTACTTTATCTTCTCTCTTCATTAACAGAACCAATATTTAACTTAAAAATCATGTGGGTAAGGTTCAATTAAAATTAAATATATATTAATTATTCAAATAAGTTTTATTATTATTAATTTTTTTATGGAAATACAAAAAGTAATTATCAAAATATTTTTTAAAAGCTTATTAATATGAATTAAAAATAATTATAATTTTTTTAAAATAATAAAGAATTATGCCCACTAATTAATTACAAAATCTTATATTTTATTAATAATAATATAAATTATTATTATTATTATATTATTTTATTTTATTTTTATTAATTTGACCAATAAACAAGTGGATCAACTCATACAAAATTGTTATCATTTCATCATAAATTCTGAATTTGTATGATTTGAACAATATTGTCTTAAAAAAATATTGATAATATGTACCTTAAAAATATGTTTTAGACTTAGTCAATGACTAAATTTAATATTTGTAATGTTATTATATAAATGATTTTTAAAATAAATTTATATATATGATATATCAATATTTTAATTTTTTGAGAAATAAAAATTACATTGACAGTTTTAGAGTTTTATTTTTCAAACTTTACGGCAACCTCATTTATATGTATTGAAGAGGTAGGTCATCTTAATGTGTTTTTTAGTAATAAAAAGTGATCATATAATATAGTTCTACTTTATTTATATTAAAAGATACGACAATCAAAATATAATTTAACTTTTTTATTAATAGTTGGTAAGTATTTTTTTAATATTTTAATGTTTTGATAGAAATAATATATTAGAAATTAATAAATAAAATTGTTATATAAATTGTATTTATTATTCCATAATTTCAATAAAATATATTTATGAAATATTTAAAAAAAATTAAAATTTTAAAAATATTTTCTAATAATTTATTAATTTTAATTAATTATTTTTATTAACAACTTTTAATTGACAGAAATTAATAAATAAAAAGTGATAGATATATTGCACATGTTATTTCATAGTTTGAATAAAATATTTATAATATTTGAAAAAAACTATAAAAATAATAAAATAAGCTAGATTTATTAAAAATCAATGAATAAAATCTGTTAGGTATATTTTATTTATTATTTCATAATTTTAATAAAATATTTACAATATATTTTGGAATTTTAAATTTTTAAAAATAATTTTTAATTAATATTTATATTTTATTTTATTTTCATTATTAAGTTCTTATTGTCAGAAATTAATAAATAAAAAACTGTTAAATATACCTCACATTTTGTTTTAACATGGTATGAATAGTGTAATTATTATTAGATAAAAGATAACATTTTTTTCTTTTATTTACCTGTTATAGAAGAACAATTTTATTATCTTTTAATATCATCTTAGCAGAATTTTTTAGGTATTAGTTAAAAGACTTTTTTTTTATTTCATTGACATTTTGTCCTCGTTCTAATTAAAATATATAAAATTACATGTAAAATGTACATAAAGATTTAAAAAGGTATATAATATGGATGACAATTAAACTCGTATCCGGTGAGATCAGACTCGTCTCCATCCCGAGTAGGCTGGGACTGGGATGGATTCAATTTTTCCTCGCTTCAGAAAGTCGGGGACGAAGGCGGGAATGGATAATACAATCCCCACCTCGACTTCGTCCTCGTCCCTCGTCCCAACTTTATATTTAAATTTAAATTTTAAAATATTAATATTTTAAAAGTATTTCTTTTTCTTTTTCTATTACATATAATGTCATTTTTTTTATATTTCACCATTTTTACTTTTCTTCTATCCATTTTTTTAATTTTTTGTCTTTTTTAATCTTTTATATCAATTAGTTTATTACATTATTTTCTCTCTTATCTTTCAGCTTTTTCACATCTTCTTAATCTCTTAAATCAATTTTTTTCATCTTTTCAACCAATTTGATGAACACAAAGTTAATTTTTTTTATCTTTTTCTAAATATTTTACATAAATCTTAGTAGCAACTAATATTATTTTATTTATAATTTATATTTATTAGATTTTATTATGTCATATTTTGTATCTTATTATTCTTATTTGTCATGTATCAAATTTTATCTTAATAAAAGAATTCTATTTTAAAAGATTAAAAAAATTGATAATTTAAACTTTTATTACGTCAAACTAATTAAATAAGAACTAACTTATTAAATATTTCCTTATAAATTATATATTTCATATTTTTAAATGACAATTTAAAAATAAATTAACTTATACATGTAATAAAATGTTTGAATATAGTATAATAATAATAATAATAATAATAATAATAATAATAATAATATTGTAAATATTTAAATATTTGAATAAAATATTATAATAATAATAATACTATAAATATTCTATATATATATATATATAAATAATTAAATATATTTTTTATATACATATTTTGTATAATAAATTAAAAAATATATTTAATTAATAATAATTATAAATTATAAAACTATAAATATTTATTTTTATATAAAAAATATATAGTAAAATTAATTTATTAAAAATATAATTAATATTTTTTAAAATAATATATATCGGAGAACTAAGATAAGAACTTAATTTCCCCGACAAGAATAGAGCATGTATAGTTAAAAACAAATAGTCAACGGGATCGGAAAGGCAAAAACTGCTCCCCCGTTGCAATGCCCAGCAAACACAATCATTTTCACTACTTAAAATACTTCTTTTATTTAAATGTTCATCTTATAAACAATCTTAGAAAAAAAATCATCAAATTTCTAAATAATATGATTTATTTATTATATGGATTTCGAAGGTCCCACATTATTTAACAATCAAAACAGTAATAATTTATATGCAAACTGCTAAAATGTCTTAACCGTCCTTGATTGAACATCAGTTAATTAGAAATCAAGTTTTTTTATTTTTTATTTATTCATAAAGATTGAAGACATGTTAAAATTATGAACCTTGTATAAACCTGGACCACACATTCAGAATCAAAATCAGCAAAATTTATCATACCTATAGTAAATCACAGCATAAAAACATTTTGATTTTCAGGAAATATCCTATTTTTTCTTTAATAAGATGGATAAGTTAAGTATCAAGTTCAAACTCCCTTGTTAACAACATACATAAGAACACCATGGAATTAAAAAAATACCAATATTTGAAGCACTGATCTACATAAACAGTTTCTCATCCTCATACAAGATGCAACATTTTCACCCTTGTAGATAGATGTATGCACTAAGAAGCTCCTCTCATTAGTTACAAGTTCTTTTGGAAAGGAAAAACATAAGAACAACCATGAACCATTGCACAAGTACACACACTATCCAATCTGCAACACTGTTGAAATTTGAAAACAATGTGCTTCCAAAATCTGAATCCTGCAACTCTATACACAACAATAATGATAATAATTCAACAAAAGTAATGATAGTTGCACACACTTTACTCGCATGCTCTACAAAATACTGCTCTCCATGCCATTAAACAAGACCATTGCAACTTGTTCTACATCATCTAGCTTCCACACATAATATAATATGTGTAACTCATTTTCCAAATCATAAATCTAACAAGTCATCTTCTGCTAAAAATTCGAAGAGCCAAAAGTTAGGTATTAAAGACCCTATACAACTAAACGCTTTATTCTTTTCTCTCTCTCTATTGTTCCTCCATTTTCAACCTTCAGTTAAATTGTGCAGTCAACAAGAAAATTCCAAAGTCTTTGTTGTTGTAGTAACATGGCTATATAAGAATCCACACACTATAACTCTGTTTTCAACCGCCCTGTTCAATTTAACAATAAATTACAAGGAATCAGACACTTGATATTGATTGTGCATACAACCAAAATTAAACTAAGATTCTGTCTACTATTACCATTGGGTCCCAAGTTGTCAAGTGCTGTATTAGAATCGTATCCAATTCCATAGAAGCTTTGGAACTCATGGTCCAAAACATTCTGCATGTAAAAGTATAAGTATTCTTCAAAATTGAGAGCTAAAGGGTATTAGGGTAGCATAAATAGAATATGCACCGAAAGTGTAAAGGGTTTTTACAATATCATCTTTGATGACTTAACTAACCATCTTAAAAATCATATCAGCGATTATTTCTGGTTGTGTGACACTGTTTAATATGTTTACTTCTACAATGCATAGAAATTAAACTCATTAGAGTAACATGTTCAGAGATCTTTAGTTTTTTTACCTGGGGCAAAGGGGGAAATTGTGATGATGTACTAGGCATGCCAGCCAATGTTCCATGGAAATTTCCACTGGGGAATGTGTGAGAGGAATTGATACCTGGACCATATGAACTAATTCCATGTCCTATGCGTGATTGAAGAATCTAATTGAAGAGAAATGAAAACATCTTAACTTAATCTGTTAAAATATGGTAAATGGACCTAGAAGATTAAGACCTTCACTTACATCCTTGGATAGGATCCTGTCTACATCAAAGTTCAGTTCTGGGTTCACTGTGGCAAGTTTCATGGACAAAAACTGCAAAATATCCCTTTGATAAGTTGACTAGTCACAAAGCCATAACAATGGAACAGACGAAGAAGTTGTGCTCGAGTTATCATAAAATATCTCTTAACATGCAGTATTCAGTTTTAAATGGTAAACTGATACCATAAAAGATGTCACCACTTTCATACCTCAACCTGTTGTTGAAGTGATTGCACGTAGTTTATTATCTCATCCAGCATTACAGCTTTGCCAGTTATCTAAGAGAAAACAAACACATCATCATAGTTTAACCCAAGAGAAAAAAGGTATGCAGATACATCATCATAGTTTCATGAGAAACCATTTAGCACAATCATAATACTCAAATCACCTTGTTGCAACCTGGCACAAGTTCTTGAAGCAGCCTCATTCGCTCACTAATCTTTTCTCTTCTCACCTGCAAGCAAAAAGTTGTATAATAAGACAACTATAAAAACATAAAGGGTTTCTAACTTTTTCACAGCAAATATTGTGGTGAGAAGGGTGGTACTCTTTCTGCAAGGCTATGACTATTAGTGGCTTGTCCTCTTCTTGCTCTCACGTGAATGAAGTTTTCTTTGGGAGCTTCTCCACTTTGAGAACTATTGTCTTTAGCTTGCTTCACTGATTGCTTGCCACGCAAATCTGCACTATTTTTCTGCTCAACTTTTGGCTTCTTTTCATGTTCTTTTGGACCATCACAGGCCCTCCCCGGAGAATCTTTCACAATTTCACTCTCAGCATTCTAATCCAAGCTCATAAAGCGTTTCATTCATTAGCTTTCACAACCACATTAAACAACACCAATGAAACATTGCAAAAGGCCTAAATGAGATAGGATGTAGGACAAAACATATATATACATGCTTAGATACTTTTGATATTGTTCTCTGATTAAAATTAGAATTTCACTTTGATAATGCATGTTGACCTTTGATATAAAACTTTATTATGTGGATAGTTGAAGTAAACTCTAATTGAGATCCGAAAACAACACAAAAAGTACTCAAGGAACTGGTTCTAAGTTTTGTCCTTGGAGATATTACATTCAACTCAACAAACCTTATTTGGGCTGAAGGAAGAATTATGATCAAGACCTCTCTTTCTTCTATTCCCACTAGGAGCAGATCCTGGTGCTTCCTCTTCAGGAATTGAGTCCTCAACCTGAGATTGTTCACCATTAATCTGAGCCTCCTTGATCGGATTATAATGTGGTGGATACCGTGAGTTAGCCACATCACCAGACCCATGTTGGCCAAAGCAGCCAGCACCAACCATTTCTGAGAAGCCCCCACTTGCATAGGAGTGTACCTTGGGGACCATGCCCCCAAGATTTGAGTCGGACATGTATTGAACTAGGTGGGAAGTGTTGCTTATTCCTTGGTTTTCCAGAACAAGAGGGTAAGAAGGGTTGGCATTGGCAAACTCGGTATGAGAAACCAATGAGGAGCCTCCAAAAGTTTGAGCCTGACTTAAGGAAACAAGTGGATCCCAAGCAGAAGAAGCAAGAAAAGGGTTAGCTACATCTGAAGCCTTGGCCATCGACACAGAACTAATAGCCATTTCTGAAACATTAACATTGGCACCACTGAGACCTGAAGATGGACAAGTCAGAATGCTCTCATTTCCGTGTTGAAACCCCATGGTATTTTCCTGACCCCCCATCTGAACAAACTCAATAGTCCCTAAACAGTCACAACTGTGAAAGTAACCTCTTTATATATATACACACAACACAATTCGCCAATCAATCAGACTCAAACAGTTTGATCACATCAGGGCTGCATCTAGAAATAAACAATAGCATATGATTAAAGGGTAAAGTGAATTTTGACTAAGTTGGCTCGAGAGATATCTTGCAGGACTAAACAAGGAACAAATAACTTGGCAGCTTTATAGGACTGAGAGGAAGTTAAAGTAAAAGAAAACCCTCATTGTAGCCTTAGATAAATGCAAAACAAAAGAAAAGGTAAATGGAATATAATCTCCTAGTCAGTCACCAGCTTGGTTTTTTACCTGTTCCTTCAAAAACCCTAAGATCAAGTCTACTGCTTCAATGCTCAGTAAAAGGAGAAAAAATGCTTCCCCTCAGACAAGAAAGTGAACCTTTCAGTCTTCAGAGCATAAAGCGGACATAGACAGTGAGATTAGCTAACAGCTCATCAAACTACAAGTAAAGCAGATTCCCTTTTCTCCTTTGTCCTCACAACAACATCTAAAACCCCCCCATTCCATCAAAACATTGGTGTTAAGCAAGATTAGCTCTGTCACTAGATAAATTCTTTGTTGTTGTTGGTGGTGGTGTTGTTCTCTTGCTTGGTTGCAAGTGGAAACACACTTCTAATTAAGAACATGAGTGAACAAAACAATGAGTATCTATCTTTTTTATTTCTTTGATTTAAAAGATAGGACAGGAGGGGTTGTTGAAACTCTTGCAATTAAACTCTAGGATGAGAATCCAAGAACAAGGCACGATCAAGGGCATCAAATTCTACTCAAATCCTGCGATGACTGATAGAGACAGAATTTAGCAGAGTTCCCTTTACTGGGGTGTCTCTGACGAGAGCATCAAATGCTAGCTAGACCAATTTCACCAATTGGGTACTAAGCATAAACATCAAAATGTAGCATAAATATCTCTAACTTTAATAGATCACAACACAACAACACCAGGAGCTACCACTACTATTACCAAGCTAGAAAGATAAAGACACATAGAAGAGAGAGAAAGAAAGTGTGCGAGTGAGAGAGGGAGAGAGTCTTGCTTTGTGTACCTGCCCAAGCTATGAGGTGACATGTATCATTTTAAAAGACACACTAACTACTGCCAACTGCTCCTGTTGGTAAATTATTGCAGAAGCACAACCTAATCACTCTTTTCCCTTCCCACACTTGTAATCATTTTCAGTTTCAGTTTAACCCAAATTAACAATTATTTTCTTCAATCAATATTTTTTACATCACAATAAAAACAATTTCCTTTCAACCCCACAAAAGATATTACTACCTACATAGATCACAAAACTAACATAGTTACATTCAGAGCTTAAAATTGGTTCAAACTTAAGTTAATTATTAAATTAAAATAACCCTATAACGTATTTGGTAATCAGAAATTAATATTGGAAAGTACAAATCTTCTTTTTCTTGAGGGCGTGTGAGATTTGTTTACAAAGTGTGGAAAGATAGAGTTGGAGAGGTTCTTCTCTTGAAGGCCAAGCTTGCCCCCCCATGTATTCATTAACAAACATACTTCTTTAGTATTTTTATTCATTTCTTTTTTTTTTACTGACACATTTGCCAACTGTTCTAAGTAACATAACACATAATATATATGCATATAAAATTCTGGAATGTATCTTTCTCTCTCTCTCTCTCTCTTTGCTGTTACACACTCATTTTACTCAGTGCCAACTAACCTCCTTCATTTCTTTTTAGAATCCTCAATTATATGCACCTAACCACCATCATCCTCCATCAACCTGAGGCACTGTTCATCATGGTTTCCCAAGTGTGGGCCCCACCAAATCTTCCTTTCAAACCATGCAACCTGTGAGGAGGGGGGACACGTGTAGGGCCATGGTTCAGAGAGGTGAGAGAGTAGGGTGTGGAGGCAGTGCAGGGTATAATATCTTGTGTGGTGTCTCTGCTTTAAGAAAGATGGTTTATTTAAGTAATAATAGTGTAATAAAAATGGTGAAGCAGAAAGCTTTTGTTTATTTAACATAATATTTTGTGTTTAAATTTTAACTTTGTTGGGGGTGAGGAACACAGGGAATAATGGAATCTAATGATCAATTTTACCTTGTTGTCCTGCTCCTACGTTTTCCAGCTGGAGCCTCTGAAGCCTTGTCCTTCAACCAATCCAGTCAAACCAAAATTATGTATCTGGTCAACTATTGGCATCCTTGTGTTGTGATCTTGCTGGAAAACCCCCCAAAAATAATCAAAATAAATAAAAATGCGAAATCAACGGCTTATTTTCTCCACACTCATCATCAGATCAAGAATGAGACGCCGCATAGTGTCAAATAAAATTATATAATTGCATATACCTCAAAAAATAATATAATTCATGGGACCGAGTGTTTTTAGGAATATAGGATTGGTGGGAGTGTGTGATCTATGGACACCGGATCTGAATTTTTATTTATGCTTTCTATCATGATGATGGAAGATTTTGACATGGAAAAAAAAAAAGCAGTGTACAAAGTACAGAGAGGAGTGAAAATCAATAAACAAAAATGGATATAGAATTTTAAATTATTTGGACTAAAAAAAATTGAGTTTATGCTACAATGACTAAAACTAATATGTTTAGAATGCAAAGTTGAGTGGAATTCGTTTCAATTGCAGCTCTCGTAAACGGTTAGTTTTTCAGCGCGTCCACCTCTAGTAAAAATGTGAGTGAAAGTGTAACTTCGGTAGAAATAGAAAAGTTGATTAACCATAACACATACCAGGGTTGATGATTCCTCACTAGCTCAAAGATAATTTGAAAGCCAGTGGTAGACTTTAAACGATTATATAATTAAGGTCATTATTGAATATTCATGATTAAGAAATGTTTTGTCTTAAGCATATAAAAAGAATTATTATTGGATACTCGTGATTAAGAAATATTTTCGTCATATGAGAAGGTTTACAATTAAGAATGTTATGTGTACTAACACGAAAGAAATCACAGTTAAGAATGAGATTATAGATAATTTAAGTGTGAGTTGAAATACTTAAAAATAAGAAAGTTGAAAAACTTATAATTAAAAAATACCTATAATCTAATATTTTAAGATTTTTTTAAGTTAATATCATATTTTCTTATATTATAATTTAACTTATGTTAACATCAAAAAGACTAATAAATAATAATGTGTATATTTTGAATGTGTATATTTCCAAAATATTTGACAGAGACAAAATGGTATATATTTCTGTTATGGTATCATGAGCCTTTAGGCTGCCATGGCAGACGCGCATACAACATCTTCTAATACGGAGGAAGAATCTTCACCTCCTCCTCCTTCATTTATTGATCCAAGCCAAAATCCCTCCAGCCCTTTCTATATCCATCCCAATGAGAGCCCTTCTGCTATCATTGTTTCACCTCCTCTCACAGGATCCAACTATCAGTCACGGTCTCGTTCTATACGCATGGCTCTTATCCCCAAGAACAAAATGGGATTTCTTACTAATTCAATCCCTACTCCTGCATCTACAGACGCCCTTTACCCTTCGTGGGAACGCTGTAACACCCTTCTTATGTCATGGCTTCTCAACTCTCTTTCCCCCTCTATTGCTCAGAGTGTTATATTCTTTGAAAAAGCCATTGACATATGGATTGATCTCCGGGAGCGTTTTACTCAAGGTGACCTCTTGCGCGTTGATGAGCTCCAGGAGGAGATTTACTCTCTTAAACAGGATTCCTTACCTGTTACTGATTACTACACTCGTCTCAAGACTCTTTGGGAGAAACTTGACAATTTTCGTCCTATGATCCCCTGCACTTGCTCTGCCAAACAATACCACCTACAGGACTTTGTCATACGATTTTTGAAAGGGCTCGATGAAAGGTTTGCTATGGTTCGATCCCAGATTCTACTCCTAGACCCGTTACCTTCTGCCCCTCGTGTTTTCTCCATGGTCATTCAACATGAAAGACAACACTCTGCTCCATCCTCCTCTTTAGTCGACAACAATCCCTTTGTTAATGTTGTTGGTTCAAAGCGTAGGCCATCACAGCAAGGTGGGGGCAAACCACAACGCAAATGTGACCATTGTGGACGCCTCGGTCACACTGTCGATTCCTGCTTTCAACGCCCTGGCACTCAGCCTACGAAATGTGGCCATTGCGATCGCCTTGGACACACGGAAGACGTTTGCTATGTCAAGTTTGGCTATCCTCCAGGTCATCCCAAATACCCAGGACGGCCTCGCCTTCCCAACAAACCCGCCTCTGGTAGCGGTCCTTCTGGTGGTAGCGTTGTCAATAGTACCGTCGCCACCCATGAAGCAAGAGCTGAAACTAGAACCCTAACCCATAGTGAAGCAGATCAACACAGCTCACAACAGGGAAATGGGCTCAACATTACACAAGCCCAACTGCAGCATTTGATGACTTTGCTTCAAAAAGCCACTGGATCTGGTGGTACAAGTCCAGATGAGACACCCATTAGGGCCAATATTTCACACACCAACTCAAGTTCTTCTTCTAAGCCCTCCTTTGATTGTTCCTGTATTTCTTCTGTTTGCACCACCCACACACTCAACACACTTATTTCACACACTACCTCGTGGATATTGGACTCTGGAGCCACCGATCATATCACATCCTATATACACTTGTTTTCACACATATTCTAAAATAAAACCTGTTAGGATCAATCTACCCAATGGGTCTCGTAGTCAAAGCCAACGTTTCGGCACCATTTATCTCTCCCCTAATTTTGCTATTCATGATGTTTTATATGTCCCTGGGTTTACCTTTAATCTTTTATCTGTTTCTAAGTTAGTCACGACACTTTCTTGTCAAATTCTTATCTCAAAATCTTCTTGTCTCATACAGGATGCGAACACGTTGAGGACGATTGGTTCGGCTAGATTAAAGGAAGGTTTATTTCACTTGGTAATTGAAAATGATAGGTCATCATCTACAAATACCGTTGCTACCAATTGTAATTCCAAACTTTGGCATTTTAGACTAGGACATTTATCTGGAAGCCGTCTCAATGTGTTACATCAACAACAACCTTTTATTTCAAATAGTTTTAATGAAATGTGTGATGTTTGTCATTTAGCAAAGCAAAGAAAATTACCTTATTCTCCTAGCACAAGCAAAAGCACTAAAATATTTGAATTAATTCACATGGACATTTGGGGACCCTTTCCCAAAAGCTCTATTCATGGCTACAAGTATTTCTTAACTATAGTTGATGATTATAGTCGATATACTTGGGTCGTTTTGTTAAAATCTAAAGGAGAAGTTAGACTCCATATACAAAATTTCATTATTCTAGTAGAAAATCAATTTGAAACAAAGGTCAAGTGTCTTCGTTCAGACAATGGCCCCGAATTTTTCTCAAAAGATTTTTTTCCTCAAAAGGGATAATTCATCAAACTAGTTGTGTATATACACCCCAACAAAACGGAAGAGTTGAACGCAAACACCAACACATTTTAAACGTTGCTAGAGCCCTCATGATTCAATCCAAATTACCAACAAATTTTTGGTGCTATGCCATTAAACATGCAATTTTTCTCATTAATCGGGTTCCCTCACCGATTATTTTCAATAAAACCCCTTTTGAACTCTTGTACAAACAACAACCAGATTTTTCCATACTAAAAGTTTTTGGCTGTTTATGCTTTGCTTCCACAAACATCACACATCACAAATTTGATGCTAGATCCCGAAAAGGAGTTTTCTTGGGTTTTCCCAATGGCACAAAAGGTTACATTGTTTTAGATGTTAATACAAGAGAGATTTTCACTTCCAGAAATGTTTTGTTCCACGAAACCAATTTTCCCTTTCACACCACATCCAATACACAAGATGAAGAATCTTGCGAATTTTCACCCACCACCCATAATCTGCTTGATACACCACCCTCACATATGTCTTCACCAACACCCAATGACATTATTTCTCCTTCTTCACCTTTACCTAATTCACCGCACAGACCCCACCTCTATTTTTCCTTTTAGTGAACCCTCACCTGCGACACCCACATCATCTTCTTCACCAGACCACATCCATCAACCAACCTCTCCCTCGCCGATCTAGTCGCACCTGTTCATACACCGCCCTATCTTTCCGATTATCAATATAACCTTCCTTCAATCAAGTCCGCTCAATTCTCCTCAACTTGCTTGCATCCCATCCAAGCTCGTGTCTCTTACAAACGCATCTCCCCTTCTCATAAACACTTCCTAATGGCACTCTCATCCGAACAAGAACCACCAAATTTCCTTGAAGCCACTAAGCATCGGTGTTGGCGCAATGCTATGAACAGTGAGATTGAAGCTTTGCGACTAAATCACACCCGGGATATCGTCGAAACGCCTCCTCATGTGCGCCCCATTGGCTGCAAATGGATATACAAAATCAAACGGCTTCCTGATGGCAGTGTTGAGCGCTATAAAGCGCGTCTTGTGGCAAAAGGATACTCTCAGATCGAAGGCATAGACTACTTCGAGACTTTCTCTCCAGTGGTCAAGATGACGACAATCCGTACAGTTCTTGCTTTTGCATCCATCAATCAATGGCATCTTCAGCAATTAGATGTTGACAATGCATTCTTGCATGGTGATCTCTCCGAAGACGTCTACATGACTATTCCTCCTGGGTTAACTGGCTACACTTCTTCCCAGAGCTGTAAACTACGCAAATCCTTATACGGGTTAAAGCAAGCTAGTCGAAAATGGTACGAGAAGCTTTCTCACTTGTTAATTTCCTGTGGTTACAAACATGCTCATTCTGATCATAGCTTATTTATCAAAGCAAATGGATCTGATATCACTGCTTTAATTATCTATGTTGATGACATTGTCCTCACTGGGAACTGCATTAGCGAGATAGACAAAA